TTGTTTTCTCTCATTTTCTAACCAATTTTCTCATTATCCAAACATGTTTAACTGTCATAATTCAGTCCTTATTCATACTTTGATGAGCTATTGTGATAGTTTTGTGGGGTCAATTGGGTGATTCATGAGTTTAATAGGGTGATTGGAGAGTTTTTATTTTCATTTTCCTTCATTCTCTCATATTTTTTTTATTTACTTTCTTGGAAGCCAAACATGGCTTCCACCTAGAAATGGCTTGCAATCTAATCTCTACATCCATGTTTACATGGATTTGATAATCTATTTACTCTTTTCCATAGGTAGAGACGTAGATTTTTTTCTATTTCTTTGATTTCAATCTCACTTTTCTATAAGTTACTTTCATGTTCATCATTGATTTTTCAATATCTTGATGATCAAAGAAGTCTATCATTTCATCATCTTCTCTATGATGAGCAAGGTAGTTCTTACCTTAATTCCTCTCTTCATTTTACTTCTATGATCATCATATGATTTTTCTGTATCTTTGATAATCAAAGAAGTTCCATCTTCTCATGACTATTCCATGATGAGAATGGTGGATTTCTTTTATTTTGTTTCGTATTTCCATCCCTTGATTGCTTCCATAGTCATCATGTAATGATTCATATTGCTTGATGATTAAGGAAGTCAATCTATCTCTTCCTTGATTATTTGTCATGATAGGAGGGGTAGATTACATTTATTTTAATATTTGCTACTCTCTCTCATCTTTTGGTGATTGAGATTGAGATTGAGATTGAGATTCTCTATTTTATTGTTCATTTGGAAGCTTCTATGGCATAAATGAATTTAATTCTCTCATTATTCATGATGATTGAGGATGAATTCATCCTGCCTAGCTTCTAGTGCCATTTTAACAGAATTATAGTGCTTCTCTTTTACATTCCTATGTTAGAGAAGTACTTTGGCTAATTTTCTTTCCATTACTTCATTTTAACTTCCTCACCTCAGTAGCTTCTCCATTCTCAATTTTTTTTTCCTAATCGGCAAAAAGAAACTTTATTGATTAAGAATCAAGGAAAAATCTTACATCATACATCAACAAAGATAAAAACTAAGTAGGTGCTATAAGTATCAAAGTGATATCCCTTTATCCCAACTAGGATGGCACAAAAGGACACACCCAATCATTTGTAGCACCTACAAGGCTGAGGAGAGATCAACCAAATAGAGGACTAAAATAACATCTACCAGCAACCCAAGAAGCAGGCAAAACAAGCAACTAATGGCCCCTAATTGCTTTAAGCCTAAACACCAAATCAAAAACTGAATAACTCAGCCCGTCCCACATTGGAAGTTTGCATGGGTGATCTGAGGCATATATAGCACCACTAACTTGCTACTAAGTAACTTGGACTTGAGCTTTAGGGTCATGTTACCCACAAGTTAATTGGGCCAGTAGGTAGTGGGGCATTATACTCAACCCTTTGATACGGTATTGCCGCCCCCCCACCCAAAAAAAAAAAAAATTGCTCTTAACCAGCTTTTTAAACTTGAATCCATCCCACCATTCCAGCAAGTGACTCACAGATTGTGGAACAACCCATTGACTACCCCACCATGACAATGGCTCTGTCCAAATTTTCTAGGCAAATGGGCAATGAAGAAGCACATGGTTCACTTCTTCATCATTGGAGTTATAGAAGATGCATCATTAGGATCAAGAACACCTATGTTTTGTAGAAACACTAACGTTTTCAGTCTGCCCTTCCAAGCCAACCAACATGTGAAATGAATCTTTGGAGGAGCAATATTCTTCCAAATTGACCGAGTCACAGTAGGCAATGGACCACGATTCAAATTGAGCCAATCATAAACTGACTTAACAGCATAATCACATAAGAGATAAAGAGAGCATTAAATATAATGAGCCAGGTCTTATGCATGAAAAATGGATGTAAAACATGAAAAAATGATGAACAAAGAAAATATGATGCCAAAATATGAAAATCTCCAAATAAAAATGATGAACAAAGAAAATATGATGCCAAAATATGAAAAGCTCCAAATAAAAGGGATAGAAGAAGGATAGAAAAGAGAAACCAATATACATACATCTACACTAAAAGAAGTAAAATGAGAAGAATAATGGAAGCTAAATGTAATAATCAAAGATAAATGTACTTTGCTGATGCACTTAATTGTTCCAAACAAGATCTTCCTTTCAAGTTTCTAGGCCTGCCTCTTGGTGCAAGTCCTAGATTAAAATCTACTTGGGAGCCCTATAATTAAGAGTGCAAATTGAGGCTTGCAACACGGAAGAGAAGACACTTATCATTTGGAGGTAGACTAGGTAGACTAACACTTGCTAAATTTGTGTTGTCAAGTTTGCCAGGGTATTAGAGTGTATTACTTGTCTTTATTTAAGATGTCGGTAAGTGTGGTTAAAGAACTTGAAATAATCCAAGCTAATTTTTTGTGGGGAGGATCTAACTTGAAGAGAAAAATCCACATGGTAAAGTGGAGTGATGTTTCAAGAGGAAGGGATGAAGGGGGCCTAGGAATTAGAAGATTAAGTGATGTGAATTTGTGTCTTCTTGTCAAATGGTGGTGGAGATTTGGGAGTGTTAATAGGGGTTTATGGAAGGATATTTTGTTAATAGTGATTTCTCCTTTTGAAGGCAACTGTTTTCTTGGGAGGTGGAAGATTGTTTTCAGCTCATTCATATACTTCAATCCAGCCCTGCACTGAGTGAAGTAGAGGATGACAGACTGGTTTGGAGAGCTGAAGCATCAGGCCTATTCACTGTTAAGGCACAGGCACGGGCACGGGCACGGGCACGGGCACGGGCACGGGCACGGCAAATTTAAAAAAAAAAAAAAAAAAAAAAAAAAAAAACTTGGTTATGGCAAAATTTTTTTTTTTTTTTTAATTTATAGCTAAACAACCACCTACAAATTAGAGTTCAATAACATAATTAAAAAGAGAAATTACAAAAAAATAAATAAATCATACGAGCTGTTCTAATGCATATATTCCAGTGACAAGTATCATGATATATTGCATCTATTCCAGTGACAAGTATACTGATATAATATATTGCATATATTGAAGAAAATATATATTCCAGTGACAAGTATCATATTGCATATATATATGACATATATCAGAAAAAAATCTAGACAGATCTTAGTTCAAAAATCTGGACATATATCAGAAAAAAAAATCTGAACAGATCTTAGTTCAAAAAATCTGGACAGATCCTAATTCAAAAATCTGGACATATATCAGAAAAGAGAGAGAGAGAGAGAGAGTTCAAGAAAAAGGAAGAGGAAGAAGAAGGATCAAAGAAAGAGAAAATCAAAGAGGAGAAGAGAATCAAAAAAACAAAGGGGAAAAAAAAAAGCCAGAACAGATCTTAGTTCTTCGTTTGCTGCCAATAAATAGTACAAAAATCTGGAAAATAAAAAGAAGAAAAAAGAGGAAGAAGAATCGATTGTTTGCTGCGAAGAAACAGCACAAAAATCTGGACAAAAAAATAAAAGAAAGAGGATGAAGAATCGAAGAAGAAGAGGGGGAAGATCGAAGATGAACTTACCTCTTCAATCGCACCTTCGAAGGAGAGAATCAATCAGCAGCACCTTCGATTAAACCTTTCAATCGCACCTTCGAAGTGTTCTTCAGACTCTCTCTCTTGGGAGTATTTCTGGAAGGAGATGATCGAATAGACATAGAACCCTCATTTTAATTGGTTCTTCAATCGCACCTTCGAAGTTCTTCAGTCTTGGGAGTATTTCGGAAGGAGATACTGGAAGGATATGAGATGATCGAATGATACAGAATAATAGAACCCTAAGGCCCCGTTTGTTTGGGGTTATAGGGAGAGGATTGGGATTGATAGTGAGTTGAGACTACTATATGGGGTGTTTATTTTGAGAGATGGGGAGGGCACTACTAATTCCTTGGTATTAGTAAAGGCCTTAGAAGGGGGATTGGTAAGGAGGAGGTAGAGATGGTATTAGAAAAATAGGGAGGGGATTAGAATTTTTTTATTTTTTTTATTTTTTATATATTGGAATTTTTTTTTTAAATATTAATGTTTAATTTTTTATATTTTTTTATTTGTTTTATTATTTTATATAAAAATAATTTAACAATTCATCACTATTAATCCCTTCACTATCAATCCCTTCACTATCAATCCCCTCACTATGAATCCCCTTCATTCTATCTTTGAAAACAAACGGGGCCCAATTTTATTTGATTTCATGTTTTACTTATTACAAAAGATCCCAGATTTTTATAATTTTTTAAAATAGTCACAAAAAATTGCTCTGGTACCCTTTAATTTATAGAAAATATCGTTTTTACCCTGGAGTACCCAAAAACGTACCTATGGTGTACCCATGGCGTACCCATTAGGGGTGTCCGCGGTTCGGTTTGGGATGGTTTGCGGTTCGATTTGGACCCGCCCGCATCTATGCGGTTTGGGGGAAAAGTCAACCCGCAACCGCCCGCAATGCGATTTGCGGTTTGTGCGGATAGGGCTCACGGATGTGCGGGCGGTTGCGGGTGGTTTGTGGATTGAACTTTTTTTTCAAAAATTTATTTTTAAACCTTTTTTTTCTCCCATTTTGTCAATCTTTATTTTGGACCTTTTTTCTTATATTTTCTAAAATGCTCCAACATTAATAATTAATGAATTAAAACTTATAAAAAACTTATAAAATAAAAAACACAACAAATTCAATTAATTGTTTGATTGAATTTGGACTACGGTCTCGTGGATGTACCAACAAATCACCTATTTTTCCCAACAAATAATACTAAAGGGAAAGAAAAAGGAAAAGGAAAGAAAGGATAAAAGAATAGAGAATTCATAAGTAAAAGATCTAATTCATAGACACAGCTAAACAAAAACTATGTGGAACATCGTGCAGGATAGTAGGGTTTGTAGGTTTTTGTGAAGATGATGCAAGTAAATGATTTGATTCATATAGACAGGAAAACAAAAACTATGTGGAACAATGTTGCATACCTGATCTTTCCCATGTACATCAGCTTTAACAAGCTTTGAATAGAATTCCTTTAAAACCATTCCATCAGCTGCACCACTCTCCTCCACATGTATGAAAGCAACACGAAGTGCCTCATTCCAAACAACAAATAAAAAACAATTAAAAAGCTTTAACCACTGGCTCTAAAGTGAAGTGCTTCCAAGAAGTAATCAGCTATTAACAATTTCACAATTAATAAAATTAACAGACAGATTCAGATTCAGATTTCAGATTTAATAAAATTAACATACACAATTAATAACATACAAAATTAACATACATACACAGATTCAACACAACTACGAACAAATTTCTTAACATACATACATACACATATTCAACAAAAATTCTTAAGAACAAATTCAAACAAATTTCTTAACTAACATACATACATACACACACAAATTTCTTAAGAACAAATTCAACAAAATCAACATGAATCTGATTAACATACACACACAGATTCAACAAATTTCTTAAGAACAAACACACAGAGAGTGATCGGTGCAGAATAAACAGAACGGATCAGATTCCAAAACAAAACAAACACACAGATTCCAAAACAAACAGAACAGATCTGTTGGTCCAAAAAAAAATCAGATTTATTTCCAAAGAAACACTCAGATTCGATCGGTGCAGAGATGAGAGATCAGGGAGAGAGAGAGAGAGAGAGGCTTACCTGTGAGTCGATCGGTGCAGAGATGCAAAACCAAACTGTGGATCTGATGAGATGAGAGCGTGAGGGAGACAGATCAGATCAGAGAGATATCTGATATATATATGTATATATATATAAAACAAAAAAAAAATCAACGATCGGGGCGAGAGAGAGAGAGAGTTTACCTGTGAGTAGATCGGCGGTGCGATGATCGGTGCGATGAGATGAACAACGAGAGAGTGAGAGAGAGTGAGAGAGAGTGATCGGTGCAGAATAACGAAACGAGAGAGAGAGAGTGAGAGAGTGAGAGAGTGAGACAGAGAGACAGTGATGAGTTGAGATGAGACTGAGAGTAAGGGAGACGAATTTAGGGTTTTTTTGTTTTGTTTGTAATAAATGAGGTGGGTGAGATGGACGGCTAGAATTGAAAAAGGGAAAAAAAATTAATTAATTAATTAATTTAATGTGGGTGGATGGATGGGCTGGGCGGGTGCGGTTCAAACTTGCGACCCGTTCGCAACTCGAAATTTATATAAAATTCAACCCGCATCTTATCCTAATGTGTTTGTAAAATCGCACGTCCACGCGCGTGCGGTTCGGTTCGGGTAGGACAGCTTGGACGAATCGGATAACTCTATGCCAGCCCTAGTACCATCATTATACTGACCATATAATATGTATCCGGTGCGTTTTTGGCGTACCTAATATACGTGCAACTGTACTGGTACATGTACCCGCACCCGATAAGTACCCGATACTTGTACAGCAACATTTTTTGAGTACTCGTACTTCATAAGTTGTTGAGTTTGGAATTATTTTGAGTTTTTGATTGAAAGACTTTCTGATTCATTGTTTGTTTGTTTCTTAGAAAAGAAAACAGAAATGTAGAGATGGAAAACGTTTCTTGGCTTTATCCTCAAAGATGTGGGTAGGCTCAAAAGGCATGTTTGCCAAAAAAAAAAAAGTCATTTTTTTCACATAATTTTTTGCCTTCATTATTATTTGTTAATATATTTAGAAATATATGCCATAAATATATCTATACCTAATATATTTGGGAATATATGCCATATATAATTTCAAACTCTGAAATTTCGAGCTCTGAAACATTTTTCTTTGTTAATATATAAAGGAATATATGCCACATATATATATATATATATATATCAATACCTAATATATTTGGGAATATATGCCATATATATATTAACATTATTATTATTACCACTACTACTTTTAGAATTTTTTATTCTAAAATGTAAATCAAAAAATGTCACTAAAGTTGTAAAAAAAAAAAAACAAATAATCCCCATCTGACTTTTCTCAATAATAAAAAACTTCGTCTAAAAGTATCAATTTCTTTAACAACAAGATCTTTATATTAAAAATAAAAAATAAAATGAATTCATAGATAAAAACCTTTGAACTATCATGACCGTCTAGTTTGGTAGAGCATGATTAAAAGTCAGTTTTTTGATTTTTTTGATTTTTTTTAATCATATTACCTCTTTATAGTTTTCAAAAAAAAAAATTCAAAAAATTAACTTTTAATCTCATTCTCAAAATATGTATAAAAATTTTCAATTCCATATATCTTTAGGAAGAAATAGTTGTGGATGATGGTGTCCAAACAATTACAATGCAATAGTTAAAATTACGTGTTAATTAACAAAAAGTAATACAATTAAAACTCAATTTGTGCGTTACGTAGAGTTTAAACTTATAGACCTTGTAAGTCAAGTTGAAGGACTTTTTTTAAGAATCTCAAACATTTTTTGTAATTAAAATGTGTTAAGTGAGTGTAAAATAAAAAGAAAAAAAAAATTGTCAATCTCCAACCTTATTTGTTCTCGTTCTTCTTCTAACACACTGCAACGATCCCTGTCTCTTACGTTTGCTTTACAATTCGCTATAATAGGTATGGAAACAAACTTCTTGGCACCATTCATCCTTTTTTCGAGGTCCACCTTATTTACTGTTATTTATTTTTTTATTAGGAAACAAAATTTATCAATGTCACTCTTGCACACATGAAATAAAGAGCAGAGTACCAAAATGAAGTGCAACAAATATCAACGCCACTCTTGCACACATGAAATAAACAACTCCCAGCACACAAGGTCAATGCCTACCGTTCTCACCAGACTAATTATGTACTCAATAGATTTTTACAATCAACAAAAATTGAAAAACCATGGACAATAAATTGGGCCTGCCAATATCTTAAAATCCTTAGTTCTTAGATTTCTTGGCTTATTACCTTTTTTCTTGTGAATTGTTGGAGCGTTCCATTGAACTCTGCAAAGCATAATGTCCAAAAGACAATATGAGAATTACCCCCAAAAAAGAGATTATGCGTTTCCTTAATAAATAAATGTTCAGATATTACCTGAAGCAACTCTGTGAACGACACTAGACCTTGAAAACATTTAGTGGAACCAACAATTCCATAACCAGCAGAAGGCAAGGATTCTTGTCCAATTGGATTTTGGTCTTGTAGGAAAAACATAAATAATACACAGCAGAAATAAACAGATTCAAGCATACCTTTTACACTCAAAACCAAGTCCATGAACCATGTGGGTGAATCACGTACCCCATGATGAATTTGAATTTCCAGCAGTGGGGTAGAAATACTAGAAAACTATCTACACTATTCACAGTACAAAGGCATGGTTGTTCTCCCATCCCACGGCAAAGATCTCGAGAGAGATAGTTAGAGGAATATTCGGTTAAACCCAAATTACATAATACATATCAGATATATAGAATATATCTGAATATGTAATCCACTCTGATCCTCTAGATAAGGTAATTCAAATCTCATGGGTCTACTAATGGGTCATGTCACCATGGGCGCCCAAAATCGGGTTTGAAACTCAACCTGTTTTTTAACATCTCCCATTCGTACATGGGTTGGCATGACATTGCCTCATCTCTATCTCAATCTACCCAAACATCGAACAAACTCATACTTGCCAATAGGTCGGGTTCATACAATTAGTGATTTAGATTGCTATAGTGCTCAAATTAACAGGACTTGATTGGGTTCAACTTTGCTATAGTGCTCATTTTTGGTTATTTTTGGTTATTTTAGGTGACTTCTCTACAAGTCAATATCACTGGCATAATCAAGAATCTGCCTTTACATTTTCCCTAGTGTTGTTTGATATCCATTGTTCAAAATTATGAATTGTATTTATGCTTAGAAAAGTGCAATATGATGAGGTACATATTAGGAAAATCTCTTTTAGCACTTTGTGGTATAAATGAGGTGAAGCCATGCTTGCTTCAAGCATGCAAAAGAAAACACCAACAAATGTGAATTGAAGTAACTAGACCAAGGAAGTTTTAACTAAAATAGCTAAATAAAAACTGAAATTGTGAGCTTTTTTATATCATAAATGAGTTTACCACCATTATGCTAATGCTCTCTCTCTCTCTCTAAATGTGGGCGCGTGTGAATGGAAATGCAGTTCCTCCCATACCTGCTACAGCGTGTTGATTAACTAGTCTCCCCTGATCATCATATGTGTATTAATTTCTCGAACAAGATTACCTTTTCCTTTTTGAATAACTTTACCAGCTACACCATCTTGATAAAAATTTGGTTTTCCTTCATGTTGAAATTCTGTGAATGGAGGACCACATTAACATAAGCTCACAAGACATTTACCCAAATGATAGATCAAAGTAATAGTTAGAAAAGAAAATTCTGTACTCACGAGGTCGTCGAAAATAGATCTGATGCCCTTTGTTCGGAATTTTGCACCTGCAACAGAGTTGACACTTGCAAGTCGTATAGATGTGATAAGAGTTCCTCTCAATTTTTTTCTTTCTTCTTTTTCTTAGCACATATTCTTGACCCTAAATACATTTCCTTGCCTTGTTGTTCTTCTAGACAAACAATTTGGCCCCTTTTTTTTGTCAAAAAATATATAAAGCAAAGAATCAAACGTAGATATCTCTCACATACGAAGTTCAAACAATTGCTTGGATTGAAAAGATACAATTATAGATTATCAGGGCTTCACACCACGCAACACTATACCTTCTACAACATTTATAGAAAGTCAGATTAAATTAGACTTTCAATTAAAGCAAATTGCACTGGATACATGGTTCTAACACCTTGCTTGGTGTTGTGACGGCTTCTAAAGAAGTGATTTTGAGTGAAAAGCTATGTAGAGACTAGAACTATACATCAAATGTTTTAAAGATGCAATCAAGCACACCCTAATGAAAATAAAGGGCAGCAAAAATGCTTCCAAAGTAAATACACCGCAATACCAAACAGGGCCAAAATCACAGTCATGTTCGCCGATACACTATAATAGGAGTTCTGCAAATAGATTTGCAACACCAAAGATAGAAACATTGTTTTTGTCACACAAAAAATGCTAATGCTTCAAGCCATTACCCTGGCACAAATGAAGAAGAGGAACAAGATCAACAACGCTAAGACAAATTATAAGCATGACTAGCTCAGATTCTTTCCTTCCTCCTTTCTAATTTTTTCTTCTTTTTCTCTTGTATCAGAACTAGCCATAACTAGAGCCATTCTGCCATCATACCACCATTATGACTTCACACATGAGCATTACACTGATTACAGTCTACTATGGCAGACTATCAAGGGTACAACCTTGGCACAATTTTCATTTATCAACCATTATGTTACACAATGGTAGCTATTTTACAATCTTGGTCCCCAAGAGCGGGGATGAAGACACACTTAGGCCAAAGGGGGTCATGGCCACCCCAACCCTTGGTGCATAGTGTACATCAAGGCTTAGAATTTTTATAAGGAATCCCCCCCCCCCTTTTTCCAAGAAGAGCAGTACCAGCATGCACTAATTTGCTTCTTTTTCTCTTTGCATTCCTTTTTTCTCTAAAATGAAAATGGGATTATTTTATTTTCCTTTTTCAATCTTTCATTGTGTCTCTTTCACTTCACTTTGCCTGCATTACTTCTAGGGGATTTTAAATAAAAAGGGAAAAAAAAACTAACACGCAAGGAATCACACAGGCTCACAAAAAAGCCTCTCTTCTTTGGCTCTTTCATTCACACACCACATCTGACATCCCCATCCCTCATGTTCTCTCTCTAGTTCATAGAAGAGAATGAGTCTCTCTCCATTTTGAGTAATCCAATCATCAATAGTTTAGTTTTATTTGGGCTTTGTATACTAGATTTGCACACTTACCCCTTCTTTAGAGAACTTGGAGCTTTGAATTCGTTGTCACATAAACTTTTGTTTTTATAGCTTCAGTTTTTCGGTTCTCTCCCTTCTAAACATGATTTGATCATCAATAGCTTCATCTACTATCAAACCACGCATTTGTCATAAATAGTATATATGCACGCCCCTTCAACAAAAAAACATGGACCTTAGAATTCGTCATCCATCTAGTTCCTATTACATAAATTGGAAAAAAAAAAAATTTAAATGTCATTCCTTCAATTTTTTTCATTTTATTGCTATTTCATTATAAATTTAGTTGGTACCATTGTTTTTAGAAATGTCCCTGCTATTTTTATATTGGTCTAATAAATATAGCTTTTATTATTGTTGTAATTTTTTTTATAAACATGTTCTTGCCACCACAAAAATAAAATTCTAGATTCATCCCAGCCCACCAAAAGCACATCATGCATTCAAGCCAACCCCTGGTTATTATGTCAGAGATGCATATCCAATGTGCACATATGTTTCAATATGCTCTTAAAAGTTTTTTTTAAAGTCAAGTTATTTAAGGAAAATTAAGACAATGACAGTAATATCCTACAAAGATCTACTTAAAATATAATATGAGTAAAGAACATACTATGTGTGAACTGTTAACTGTCATTCAGCATGTAAAGCATACAAGCTTACAATTAACTTCCAAAGCCATGAACATTGAATATCTTATTGAAAATTGAAACATAAAAAATTTACAAGTACCACATGGGGTCAAATTGGATTGCTTATGCCCCATCAAAGGCCAACCCGAACTTTTGGTCAGGTTAGGGGTTCCAACAAACCAAGCCACAAGTCTAGAAACTTCAATACAAGAATGGATGTTGACAAAGATGGCATGGACTTGAAAGTTGAACCCATCCAAATTGCAACCACAAATTAAAAATAAAAATGATAAATATTTGTTTCAAAGAAGCCAACAAACAAAACAAATATCAGACTTTACTATATAACGAAACCTTAATTCAAACAACAAATATTAGAAAATGTGTGCACAACTTAAACCATAAAACTAAGAAAAAAGTACTGAAGATCTTGCCAATCGTGGAACTACATTCCGAATTACTTTCAATCTATAGGGCTATGTATGCAAAAAGGATTAGGCCGGATACCTTAACTTATCCCAATGAGGATGTTTTAGTTATTTTGTGACAAAAGACTTAATCCTGAGATAAGTTGTTCCACCTCCCACATATGCTGGATAGAATGGCCCTCAAATAAGTTACTCAGGGTCACAAAATCTAAACCAAACATGGGATAATTTATCTCGGAAAAAAACAGTTCTATCTTGTCCCCTTGTCCATATGAATCAATCGTTGACATGTATGGTGAGTCGAGCGTGAAGCAATTAGAGAAATTCCTTAAGAACTGCAATCCAATTTTTATATTCTAGTACTATCATAATGTCATGCAATAATTTTCCATGGTAAGAAATAAATGCAACGGCATGAAGATGACAGTAAAATAGCAGCAATCATGAAATCAAAGGATGAGAAAGGCGATAAAACTAATAAGAACTGCAAAAGTGATGGTCATAAAAGAGGCCAAAAAAGCAACAAATACAAATAAATTGATACCTTGCTGAAAAGATTCCCAACTTAGGGCCTGAGTCGATGATCCAGTCAGCTTGTGTCACATTTTCTGCTACAAGATAGCGTTTTGTGAACTCCGTCCCTTCTAACAATTCAACTGAGTCAACTTCAAATACGCATGCCCGAACATGACGAGCGCGTCCTCCGGCATTGCGAGATGTGTAGATGCAAACTAGGCAAAACACGTTGTTCCTAAGATGAACCACAAACGCCACAGTCGACTTTGAAGCAGTGACTGTGTCGGTTACATGACTCAACCCAAATATTGGAACTGTAACCAAACTATAATCATCTGGAAGAGGATCATCATCAAATGTTTCAGCTTCTTCTCCAGTCTCTTGTTCTTCATCCTCCTTTCCTGCAGTCAAATCATACGCATACACCTTCATGATCTTTCCAGGTTGATCAAAGATTGTCTGATACAACAGATAGTCTACAACCTCGGCCTCAAAGAACCATGGGCCTACACTTAAATTATGAAGTATCATATCATCTGATCCAGCAGCAACACTATCGTCACCGCCATTATGCATCTTCCATTTGTTTTCAATATCATTAACGCTGTGTTTGGTTGGGGGATTTGGGAAGGGAAAGGGAAATGGAAATGAAAGGAAAAGGAGAAAGAATTAATAGAATTTCAAATCCCAACTATGTTTGGTTGTGTTGGTTATAAAATAGAATTGATCTCCTAAAAGGTATTCTATTTCTTTATTTATTTCTCACCCCCTTTCTTTTCTCATATATTTTTTATTATAACCAAACATAAATAGGATTACATTTCTCATTCTTTTTTCAAATCCCACCTCAAAAACTCCTACCAAACACAGCATTAAGGAATACAAAGTGACACGATTATATGAGTGAAGTAATAACACATAAATATTAAGGCCAATGACTGTGTGCCCGCGAAATTCCACGCCAGAAGACTTCTTATATAAGGAATGGAATGGAGGATTGGGCAGAGGGGTCCAAACATTGCCAAGTTTTGGATCAAGGACCTCGAACACATGGCATATTGTCTCAGTTTTTCTACGGTCAAATATGGAATCGCCGGCAAGGGCATATATTTTCTTATTCACAGTAACAACAACTGGATTTGGCTTCTTGGCGTTCAACGGAGGACCCTTCTTCCACTGTTTCTCATTGCAATTGAAATCCCAAATATATACTTCCCTAGGGTAATTTCTAGTTTCCCGATCAATTTCACCACCAAGTACATAAATTTTAGACCCTAGTGAGGCAAAACCAACTCGCGATATTGAACTGGCATGTTTCAGTGGGCTTAGCGGAAAAATACCAAGTTCTTCACTTGTATCAATGGCCAACACATTGATACGCTTTTGCAGCGGCAATTCAAACAACAGGCATATACATGCACTCTGCTTAATCTTGCTTTCTTCACCGTTACCGTTGCTGTTGCCTTTGCCTTTGCCTTTCCCGCTGCGCTTCTTCTTGCTGCTTTGATTCCAACCTTTCATTGTCACTGGCAACTCACTGAACAGGGCACAAATCAAACCCTACAATTCGAATATATATTGTTGGAACAAAATCAAAATCTTAAATTAACATACACAAACAAAATAGGCGGTGTTTGGGGAAAAAAAAATTTGTATTCTTTTTTGTTTTTTTCACTAGAAGACAAAGTTTTTACAAAACTAAAAAAAATAAATTTAAACAAAATATTACATCAAATCTCATAATTATTTTATTTTTTTTCATAAAAATCACATCCAATCACAAAAAAATTCAACTATCTTTCCAAACACAAAGCTTGATTTCACTTTTCAAAAAACACTTTTCAAAAAATTTTACTTTCTTATTTTTCGTATTTTTTTGTTTTTACTGATTTTTTTAATATTTTAAGCAATTTTAAAAATTTTTAGACATACCTAACTTAGATGTATCTAAAAAGTAAAAAATTTGTAAAGAAAACCTTTTTAAAAATTCACTAAATACCAAAAATATAAAAAAAAAATACGAGAATTCAATACATTTTTTTTGTATTTTTATGTATTTATTAATTTTTTAAAATATTTTTTCATAAATTTTTTACTTTTTAAATACATCTACAATTCGAATATAAATTGTTGGAACAAAATCAAAATCTTAAATTAACATACTAATATGCACGAAATTAACAAACAATCTCACTTATGAAATCAATGACTTGATTTTCTTGATTTAAGGCTCACCATGAACATTGCAGTAGAAATTCTAAACAATTTCACAAATAAGCCAATTGATATCAGGATTAAATTAAAAAACAATTGATTGATCTGCCTGAGCATCTATCACAAAATGTTAATTATGATGTAGCAACAATCTTATTTTTATAATGTTTCTTTTGTTTGCACACAGGGTGTAGCACTCGCGTATAAAAAAATAAATAAATAAAATAGCGAATGAGATGAAAACTTGTCGCATGGAATCCAAAAATAAGGATATACTTAAAAAAATAAATAAATGAAAACCTTAAACATTGCGAAGAGCTACGTGTAGAGGAGAGGAAGAAACCTTTAACCTGTATGGAGAGCGTCGGAGTTCCGCCGCGGGGGAGGAAAGAAACACCTTTAACCTTTATGAAGATCTACGTGTAAAAGTTGTCCAAATTTATAAAATTTTTTAATATTTAAAAATTTTCTTAAATTTATTTTTTTTAGAATAAACTAATGTGTTTAGTTTGAATTTTTTGAATTCAGTACTTTCAAAATTAAGTTTTTTATTTTTCGTATTTTTTTATTTTTAGTAAATATTTTTTAAATTTTAAACATTGTTTTTATTTTTTTAGATACACCTTACTTAGATATATCTAAAAAGTAAAATATTTGTGAAAAATATTTCAAAAAATTAATAAATACACAAAAATACAAAAAATATATTGAATTTTCATATTTTTTTGTATTTTGATATTTAGTGAATTTTTTAAAGATTATTTTCATGAAAATTATACTTTTTAACTGTATTTATGTTAGATGTGTCTAAAAATAAAAAAAAAATGTTTAAAATATTAAAAAAATTCAGTAAAAATAAAAAATATATACGAAAAACAAGGAAATATATTTTTTGAAAAGTGTTTTTAGGAAACCCAAACCAAGCAAAGTGAATATTTTTTATTGTAAATATTAATTTATTTTTTTTAATGTAGTTGTATTTACTATACGTACCAATTGATACATCAATCAATGTACTAACACATATTATAGCATTGTAATTTCAATACTATGGACTCCACCCATTATGCAAAATATTAAAACTTTACGTACTAATTGGTACATCAATTAACACATACCAACTTAGCGATGATGCAGTTTTAACCCAATGAAACTATACACACCAATTGATATATCAATTAGTGTGCTAGTACATATTATAGCATTGTAATTTCAAAATTGTGGACTCAACTCAATATACAAATTATAAAAATTTAAAACAAGTAAAACTATAGCACATCATTTATCAGTATACTAATTAGTGTACCAATTGATGCATATAGTTTTTATTCATATCTAAAACATGTTTCATTATTGGCTTACATTCACTTCTTATTGTCTATAGGAAAGCAAGTCTACTGCTGCTGAAGTACATTGGGGTGTGAGGTTCAATGATCTGAAAGATGTAGATATTTTGAATGCACTATAAAAACATGGGTTTGGTTATGGTGTGCAACTTACACCTTACACCTTATACCTTGCACTTACACCTTATACTTACACCTTTTGTAAAAAATTAAACCTTACACTTACACCTTTTTTGAGGTTGCACACCATGTGCAACCCACTTACACCTTACACCTTACACTTACACCTTACACTTACACCTTATACTTATACTTACACCTTACACTTACACTTTTTGTGTAAGTGGCACATGGTGTGCACTTGCACACTTAAGAAAACTCCTAAAAACATTTAACATTCTCCTCCCTGAATTTACTGAGTAAAGTAATGATGCCTTGTTATTCCGGTGTCAGCATTTTCTCATGAACGTTTGCAAGGAGGTCTCATTGCGGTTCGGTTGAGTTGAAAATACAACAATTTTGAATTTGTTGTAGTTGGTTTAAAAAATTACTATTGTATTGCGTCGATTATTGTTATTGGTTAATTTTAATGTTTGTTTTCAATAGTTGGTGAAATATTTGAATTTTTTTTTAAATAAAAAGATTATTATGTATGTGTATATATATATTGTTTGAAGTATTTATTCAATACACACTATCAAAAAAATTACTTTTTGCGACCGCTATAAACCGTCGCAAATAATAAAAAACAGTCGCAAAAGATTTTTTACGATGGCCCATGCGACGGCAAATGGGGGTCGCGAATATGGGGGTGGCAAATACTTTTTGCGACGGCAAAACAACGGTCGCAAATTATTTGCGACCACCTAAACTACTTATGGCGACCGCTATTTTGCCGTCGCAAAAAACAAAGAAAAACACTAACATGATCTTTGGCGACCATCTTGTTACCGTCGCAAAAAATTAAAAATAAAAATAAAAATAAATAAATGAAAGTGTAGCGTTAAGCACTCTAGGAATAACAATGACAAGAATTCAGACAGTATAGCATTATAGTTTTATTGAACATTCTATTTGAGTCTCAAAATTTGAGCTACATGTAAAAGTTATTACAACTAAAAACTTGAAAAAAGTTCTTTTATGAAAAAAATACAATCCAGAACTGGCCAATCTTCTCATCAATTTTCTTGCTCGGGTGTTTCTCCACTCTATCAATGAACTGGCATAACACCTTGCACCCATATTCATCAAAATCATTTCAGCAAACACTTCCACTAATGCTTTGGCAACCTATAATTGATGCCAACCAAAATGTCACAAGCAACAAAGATGAATTATTTCACTATAAAGGTGAGAGCAGAAGTCCTTCCAGATTCATGGGGTTAATTTTTGGAGCGCATGTGCATGTGTAAGCAAGCACACACATAATTATTCTATGTCAAATGAACATAAGAAAGACTAGAAAATATAACCAAAATTCTGGTTATCAAAACAAAAACAAGTGAAACAAGAGGGATTGTGGGAACTATAATATGTATAATAGAACTACTAGTGTAATCTAGTGCCAAATTAAAAAAACCAACCTTATTGGGTTGATCCTCATTTCCCTCAGAAATTCCAAGTTATCAACCTGAAAGCTAAGGAACTTCCTGTCAATATAGCACGTAAGAGTAGAATCTCAAATGCATACTATAACTAAAATTGCATAAGCTAATGTGCAGCTGTCAAGGTATGTATATAGCTTCGCTAGAATGTATAAATATCTGGCTAATCTAAAATTTGTCTATAGAATTTTACTAGCATGTGACAGGTACTAGTGGAGTTGTCAAAAAATAAAAATAAATAAACAAAAGGGAAAAAAAATTAAATAACTACTGGTATGACCATCATCAAGACAATCATTCTTGAATTTGACCCGCTTCTAGTAATTGATCAATAAGGGAATTTGAATTTTGCTACTTAGATGGATCGAAAAAATTTAATGTTAAATTTGATAATAGCTAAGCTGTAAAATCTATGAAGTCCAAATGTGGAACAAGTGTTAGTATAGTAAATGATGGTCATGAATCACCACAGCTGAACTCAATCTGCAAGTGGCAATTAAACAAAGACTTATAGATGCAACCAAGTTTAAAAAGCAACAAATTCAAAAGGTTTTGATTTCATGTTAGGCAAGAAGTCTGTGTTACCATTGCTGGGGATAAAGGCAGCTGCACTAAAATATTGTATAGACTAACAATAGTGCCTATTGCTATCACTTTTGGAATCAAATTTTCAGTAAACATGGCCACTATTTTTTGGGTCAATCAGCATACAGAACTTGGCTCTCTCTTGGTATTCGGTTCATAGGCCTGCAGCCCAATCAAATTTTCAAGGCCTCTTGAGGTGTCATTTAGATGAACCAAGCCCCTAAAAACTGAAGGATTATAACTCCAGTCTTATCTCATTCGTATTTTGAATAAGATTCTAGCATAACAAAGAAAAAAATTGTGATATAAATTAAAATTCCATTGTGTGACAACTTGTACTCAGATAATTATAACTACTCATTAAAATGTATGGATCAAGACAATGATTGTCTGAACTCATTCCACAGCAAATGATATACCCTTTATGCATATGCATGTTACTTGCTTTCTAGGTAAATGATGTCCCTGAAGAAAACCCATTTGCAATTGAATCAGATTACAGTCTGAAGAAAGCCCATTTGCAGTACCAGATTTGGTCCATATGATATGCTCTAGGGATAAATTTCAGACCTAATACGACATAATACATGGGGAAATATAGTGATATCCTTCAAGAACTTCATACACAGCAAATATCATAAATACATGCAGAAATATAGTAGAGTGGCATACCTATTCATTTTCTTTTGAAGCTTGCTGCCCACTAGATGCATCTGACACCTACAATATGTTAGTATAATGTGTTAATAATTTCCATATGTATATATGCAAATTGATAAAACGTAAAATTCATCAATTTGTAAGTATTGCACCTCTCTCAAGCTCATACTCCCAGCCATACCCTGTGACTCTAAGAACAAAACATGTGCCGTTAGGTTCTTGATCATCGTAGTGAACCTAGACTCAACGTCTTGTGTCACACACTGTGCGATCTTATCAATAAATGAAGGGGCTGCTAATGATTGGGATGGGCCGCTTCCTCGCGCATACACTGCATTCCAGGGCACTCCTCTCCCATAGGTCTTGCAATACCCATGTCCATCCTTCCCAAGGATTTTATGGTAAATCTCATCGCAATACTCAATCGTATGTTGCTCCTTAGGAACTTTCCAAAGATGCGCATTATATTCCTCCTACATTTTGAAAACATAAGGACAATGTTTGGTAAAAAGCAAAATATGTGTAAAAACATGTAAACCATAGACATACCACAATTGCTACCACATCAGGATCATTCAGGTTGTGTGCCCTCTTCCAGAGACTCATCTTATCTATTCGCTCTCCTTTATGTGTCATCTGCATTTTTTTTCAAGTTAGGAGCTCAAGTCTTCACAACATAATAAGTCAAAAATGCAGCACTAGGTGCAGCCACAACTGTAGCCACAAGTGTCACACCAAGTGCACTAGGTGCGGCTGTGGCTGCGGCTGCAGCTGCAGCAGCAATTGTAGTCACAGATGATGCCTTAGGTGCAACCACAAGATCAATACATTGAAACGAATATCTGAGAAAGATGTCCTTCCGGTCGTATGTGGAGGCCCACGAAATCCCCAATTAGAAGAATTCTTCTTAGCAATCGCCTATAACATTGGTTAGAATATCAAACATTAGTTATTTATCATTAAAACATTAATTAAAATTTTATAAAGAATACATATACCTGCACTTCTTTACTCGCCCAATATTGTACAAGTTTCCTCCACTGGGTTGGCACTATGTTACTAGGTACTCTAGAAGCAATGTCCGGATCATTCTTGAATGGAACCCAATACTTGGACTTTGTCTTGCTTTTATGATCTTTCCACGATGTCCTACAAAGTCGCATGCAAACCTCCTTGAATTCATCTGGACAGTATACCAAGTTGTCCTACAAAGCACAAATTGAAAGCCAATTTCATCCTCATAATTATAGAGCATACACAAATGCACAAGAAAGCTAATAATTAATAACTAAACACAATTAACAAGAAATCATAAATCAAATAACTAATAACTTGGAAAAATTCAAAAATCTAAGCATAAACCCTAACCGTAATTAGCAAAAGGGAAGACTATATACCTTCACCTCTTGCCAAATATTCTCCTTTATATCAACATGCATCACATTCCAACTGAGATATGTAAGTGGGACTCTATGCCCGCTGTGCACGATCAACCCTAATTGTCCTTTCAACTTTTTGCCATCATCCTCCACTGGCTGAAACTTATCATCAAATTTTACTTGGATCTTAGTGCTTGTACCCCATTCCTTTATCCCTCGGGCAAATCCTCGACCTCGTCGTGTTAAGGTAGTTGATACTGTATATGGAGAAAAAACAGATGAAGAAGATGCTCCATCCATAGTGCGAGGTAGCGAAGGACTTGCCCGCATACGTACAGCCTCATCTATAGTGCAAGGGACCTTAAAGGTCTTCCTCTTTCGCTTCATGCTAAAATGAAAGAAATATGAAAAGGTTAATACACAAGAAATATGGATATCAATTTACTAATAATATAACACAAGATATAAATATAAACAAATGATACAAATTAGTTTCAGAACAAATAAAACTTTAGCAGTAAAGTTTACCTCGAAACATATGGAGAAGATGCTCCATCAATAGTGCAAGGTAGCGAGGGACTTGCCCGTAGGAAACCCAAATCTGTAGTAACCTTTTGAACTTGATAATATGAGCTTGGAAGTTTTGTGCCCGTAGGAAAAGCCTCATTCAAAAGTTCAAGTGACATGTCAACGGACTTGTCAGTCCATTGATTGAGCACCTTCATATGCAAAATTCGAACAATGAATGATAATGAAGTAAATTTGTGACACCCCGTGTACAGATCAGTTTGTGCATCTTCCAAAAGTTTAAAATATTTCAAAGTTTCGTTATTTGCCCCTATCTGAACCGGATCATCTTCTTCTACATGGCTTGGATCACTTGCCCCTGCTTGGGCTGGATCACTTGCCCCTGCTTGGTCTGGATCACTTGCAGTTGGTTCATCATTCTCAACACCCATATGTGGAATTCCCAGGGCCTCTTGTACCATCCCAACCACATCATCTCTAGTCACTGAATCCGCCATTAATGTTTGGTTTTCTTGGTTACCATGTAATTGGACATAGGATTCCCCATGATGAATCCAATTTTTGTACTTTTTTACGAACCCATTGGAAATAAGATGCTCCCTTACAACCTCTCGTGAAAAATTGTATCGATTACTACAAAATCGACATGGACAACTAATCGATAAACTTTCATCTCTATTGTTGTATGCAAATCTCAAGAAATTATCAATCCCATTCACGTATTCAATTGACATCCGATTTGGCAAATCAATCCAATTCTTGTCCATCTTTCTATTTCTTTAACTGTTTTTGTACACATCAATAAAAAGAATGAGTTTGCAAAGTATCACAATAACAATTGCATATTATAGTTCAAAAAGTATCACAATAACATTGACATTGCACCAATAGGAAATGTGATATGCATGATTGGCCTGCAAGAGAATGTAATGTTTTCTACTTTAAGGAGATTCTCTATTTCGACTGCTTTACCTTAATATGAATTGCAAAAGAGTATTCAGACCATAGTTATAAATATCAGCCTAGACTAATACACTCAAGTATATTTATAGGAATGAAAATCAAGTATATTAATAGGAATGAAAATCAAGTGCATAGACTAATTCGCACATTTCGATTCATAGCTGATTCATTGCTTAACAGTTATGATTGCTATAAAACTCTTTTAGGTACTTCTGTTTCATTTGTTCACTTCTCATACCTAATTGCATGTTTTGTTGTATATATATTCATATATATCAGGAAGAGGGATATACATTCTATACGAGGATGTGAAGTCATGCCCCTGTGGCAATTGATCTACATTACTAAATGATTAGGCCACATGTTACACCAATGCAAAGGAAAGTTATTGAAGAAAAGAAATAAGTTCCATGTATAAAAAGTTACTCTACTTACAAAATACAAGCCACTACAAGTAGATCACAAATTTTTCAACAAAAAACTACTGATAATAATTCGGATTTGAGTTAGAGGAAAATTCAATCATAAATTACTGCACAACCAATATTTTAAGTTTGATTTCAGCTTTTGATCCATAAGAGTTGTTACTTTTTATGCCAATATTTTAAGTTTGATTTCAGAAAAAATAAGTAGAAACATGCCGTATGGCATAGTTTAACAAAATAAATGATGGTTTAGACTTCTAGTCTGTGATGAAGGATGGATACTAATAAGGAAACAGATGAAGGATACAACACAATCCAAATACTAAAATAAGACAAAACGTAAACTAAAAATAAAAAATAATAATTTATATATAAGTACAGCCAATTAATGTTAAAGAGAAAAAAAAAATAGACGCAAAAAGTCATATTTCTAGTAGTGTAATCAATAGACAAATCTTACAGAAAAAGATGTGAGGTTCCACTTGAGATACCCATATTCAGTGGTTTAGATTTGGTTTCTATTGAATCGAATGTCATGAAAACTATATATATATATATATATCTGTTTTTTACTGGATTCCCGACTCCATTGTTGACTCTGCAGAAAAAGACATGAATGTGTGGGATGAATTCAGCGAGGCTTTAAATGCAAAGAAAGAACAGCTGATTCGGGAGAATGGTTGCAGTGAGAGTTCTGGCAAGAGCTCATGGTCATTTAGAGCCATGAGAGGCAGTGCACTTGGCCCAACAATGGCTATTCTAAGAGCAAAGAATGCTATATAAGTATATGACAACCTACATCTATTTGGGTCTATGAATATGTAATATACAATGAGCATTTTTACCAGAAGCAGAGAACATCCTTTGTGGCTCTATAGCCCTATGGAATATGTCACATTTGAGCTCAGTGTTCATATTAGGGGGGCTGGAACCCAAGTTTGCTTATTGTGTGTGTGTGTGTGTGTGTGTGTGTGTGTGTGTGTGTGTGTGTGGGGGGGGGGGAGGAGGAATGGGGTAGAGAGGATTAGGACCTGTACTTCCTACCTGCCATCTAAGAGTTTTTAAACTTAAGATTGGATTTAAGAGGTTCGATGCCTACAATCAATACTCATATCCTAGCCATGTAACATAGGACTAAACCATATATATCTATTTGCCAAAAGCATATCCTTTTCCTTCTTTGAGGTCACATTTCGAATGAATAAGTTTCTTTTACCGCTGAGATATTAGCTTTTACAACAAATAATACTAAAAAAATTAAAATTAAAACTCTGGATCTTGTGCTTAGGCAGTGTTCACATGGTAAATATAGCAGGTTTAACTGAACAAAATACAGTAACAAAGATGGAAGGGCAACAATGTATATAGTTATACATTACATGGATATATATATATAGAGAGAGAGAGAGAGAGAAAGAGAGAGTACCGAAGAGCAGAGAAGAGAGCTGGATTACAGAGACATCAGATGGATTATAGATATAGTGAGTCTAAAAGTTTGATAACATCAAATGGATTTAATAGTGAGATTGAATTTGCAATCACCTGCAAGAAAAACCATAGATAACTTCATTTGACTAACGCTAGATAAAATTACAAAGAACTGCAATCGTAAGATTGTCATATCAATTTGATGAGAAATACTGAATCTAAAGATAACTAAATTAATCACAATAAACCAAAGAACTCTGATCTACAAAACCAGATCAAACACAATTTCAAACTCAAATGAGAACAAACCAACAAAAAAATGTATTATTATAGTGCAAAAAATAAAAACAAAGGAACTCTCAGATACAAAACCAGATCAAGTACAAATATGAAACAAATCAAAACAAAAAACAGAGGAAATTTGAAGAGAGTTGGTACCTAATTTGTACACAATGCGTGATAGGTGAGCTTACTCTGCTGCATTTGAGAACTCCAAGAGACCTTTTCAATGCGGTCTACTAGTAGAGTTAGGGTTTCTCTGCGATGAATCAAGCAAATTGCAGCGAGATATGTACACAGATACAGAGAGAGTAAGATTGTGCGAAAGAGAGATTGAGAGTTCAAGAGAGAAAGAGAGATCGAGACAGAAACAGAGAGATTGAGAGATCGAGGGAGAGATTCATACTGATGGAGTCCTTCAGACAACGATGGGTACGTGAGCGAGAGAGAGAGCGAGAGCAAGAGCGAGATAGAAAGCAAGAACGAGAGAGAGAGTCGAGTGAGCCTGCTAGGGCAAAACCAAAGGGCGCAAATAAATGAAAGAAAATAGGGACCTTTTACTACCTACTTGCGTTTCATCATGCTGTCGCGTTTTTTTCTTTTTTTTTTTCTTGCCACGACTAATCAAACAGTCGCAAAAAACTAGACGCAAAAAGCCAATTTTCTAGTAGTGACAAAAGCAAAAAGCAAATATATACACATATATTAGCAATTTGTAATTATATTTTATATCGATATAAAATATGTCAAATTTTTAGAGACTAGTTTTAGTTGTCTCACAAACCAAAATTTTTTACAACCACATAATTCTATCCTTAAAAGTTTATTATTTAATTTTTATTCCACAATTTTAGTAATAGATTTTTTGAGACAAATTTTATCGAATAATACTATATGCATCAATTAATGTACTAATAGATGATGTGGCATCATTTTAGAGATTTTGGGTATTTGTAATTTGTATAATGGGTGAGATCAATAATAATGTCATAACATTAGTTGATACACTAGTTAATACACTAATTTGTGCATGTAGTACCAACGAATTTTATTTGTCTCAAAAAACAAAAAAATTTGCCACCACATTTTGTTGTCCCTAAAAGTCCATTTATAGTGACAAATTCAAAATTTTGTTTTTGTCACTAAAAGTCAAATTTTTTACTTTTTTAGACGCCCTATTATGGACGAATCACACAACGAGCTAAATCGATGGGCTAAAATTTTTACACACAAACATTACATTCTTGTGGACGAAATGAATTTGTCCCTTAAAAGCCTATTTGTTTTATATTGCATTTATCTTTCTCAAGCCATAAGATAAGCAAAATGTCAGGATAGCAACTCACTAATAAAAAAAGAATAATGTTAGCAATGCCCTAAGTAATCACATATGGTGGGTGCAAATCAAACCACTTAGTTGTGGCGGTGATTCGGCGATTTTAGCTCGACTCCTGACCTAAAAAACACTCAGAGAAAGGCAAAAAGGGACGGCTGAAGCAGCTTGGGGTCCCTCCGATGCCTAAGTTAGAGACAAAGTAAACGAATGTGCAAGACTATAAGAGTAAGGTTTCAATCGAAGTGAATGTGTACCTCAATTATGTTGATTACTTCCTCTTTTATAGCTAGCTCCCACTAGCCGTTGTGGGCTATTAGGTCTCTCCCCACTTCTCACGTCAACCCCCTTTTCCTTAGGGATTATGTTCCAATAGGTGCGGATTTTTAGGAGTTGGTTGATCCTAAGGTTGAGCCTAAAATAAAGGGACATGGGTTGACTGGGTCTGTGTCCTCTTTAGGCATGCTTACTGCCGCATTTCCTCTATCCTAAGAATTCCCTTGATCTGGTTTGGTCCTGGGCCTCTAGGCCAGGCCCATGACCTTCTATTTTGCTGGTGTTGGTGCCTTCCTCTTGCCAGCCCAGGGCTTTCACCTCTGCCTTAGCATGATTCGTTTTAGCCTTCAACAATTGCCCTCTAACTCTAACCTCTTTTCTCCTCCTTGGTTGAAAAAGAAGTCAGAGTTTTGATTACCATTGCAAGAGTTTTTGTCCATAATTCTAGGGTTTTGTGCCAAGCATTTCAATTTTCAAAACGGTAGGATGTCTTTTCAGCTGACGCACCACCTCTACTTTTGGACACATGACCTCAAGCCATTAGCCCCAAACCAACGCATCTGCCATACGAAGCGACAGACACGTCCTTTCAAAATCACTCCTAGGGTTATAAATTTCCCACCAGAGTCCCTATTCTCTTAGAACTCACTAGTTCTTTCTGCAGAAGAGTAAGAGAGAAGATTTCGACTATAGGGCTTCCGATCCGGCGATTTTCTGTTCCAATCATGTTTCCGGCGACTATAAGTCTCCTTCTTTCTCACCCATTTCTTGATTTCGTTCCTTTTTTGGTCTTATAGGCAAGTATCGCATCCTTCTGGAATCTCCTTCTGCCTTAGCCGCCTTCCGCGAGCGATTTGACATCTTAGATGATGTCCATATACGTCTACGAAAAGATTTTGACAACCTTAAGGGTGCCCCTGATTATACTTGCATGCCCATCGTCACCAATACCAAGGGAGAGGTAAGATTTCCCCTAAACCCCTTTTAAGAGAATGCATGTGTTCTTGGTCCCTTGCCCCCATTCAACTCTCTACAAACATCTATAGAGTTGTAAATGGGGTGT